GAGGACGACAGACCTCGGTGGAGGTGTTAACCCCAACACCCGAAAAGTTAAGGACAAAAAAGGACCAATTTCTAGGAGCTCCGTTTGACCTCAACCGAAGCCCAAATGCCAAAAGCTGGCTGTCAGGTAGATAAAACATGTCAATAGACGAGATTAAATTAGATAAGGCGCCGCTCGAAGGCGTGGTGGATTTCATTGGACTGTTGAAGTGAGGGGTTCTGGAGAGCTTCTCATGTGGATTTTGTCCTTAACTCAAGGACAAAAATTTGTCCTTGAATCAAGGACAAACCTGAGTTGCTACCATTAACGCAAGTCGTGTAGACGCAACGATCGCCGTCGCTCTTGTGCTTGAATCCGAGTGCTGCTAGATCGGCGATTTGGGATGCCCGGTGATCGTTTCCTCTTTCTGGATTAGGGTGGAGCTCGATTGTCGTTTTTCCGGGTCGTGCAGAGTTGCTCCGGGACGTTGCAAGGGTTCACCAGTACCTTGTCTTTGTGAAACTTGGTGAAGCACGATTCCTCACCGTTCCAGCGGAGGATACGACAAAGCGGTACCGTGCACTTGCTACACATATACCGCGTCTTGAATCCTTTGCGACTATGCTCAGCATTTTCACTGTCGTGGTTTAACGTACAGCACATCACACACGACAGTTGTACGTTTTCACCTTCTATCGGAACCTATTCAACATCAGCGCTGTTATCAACTCGTACTCTTCCTCATCAACACTTTGTACTTACCAGTAAATGGTTGTGTGCTTTTGAAAGTCGAAGCTGTTTGAGAGTCGGGTTAGAATTGAATTGCTCTCGCTTTTTGTACCGAAAACTCAAGCTGGTTGAGTTGGTGATGTTTTCACCTCCACATTCTTCTGCTGGGGGCGGGTCTGCGAAGATTACAGGTAGGGGTGTTGCCGAGGCCAGACATTTTGCAGCGTCACGACAAAACGAACGAAAACTTGGCAGCTTTTGTTTGTAATCTTGGTAGGAAGTGTACGATGAGCAACGTTCTGCATCGCCTAAGATCTGGTGAGCCTGAGCAGAAAGAAA